GGGGGGGGGGGGGCGAGGAGGGAGGGAGGGAAACGCCTGCCAGGAAACCATTGTTTTTCTCGTTATTAACATCTACCAGGCGAATGTTAACATCCTGATTGGTCAAAATTTGATAAGATCTAAATAGCGTGTTCTAATTGGTCACCTACATGCCATTTAGTAACTTGAGTGTTACCATTCACAACTAAACATATGTCGTTAGTGAAGCGTGTTGAGATTTCTCTACGGGAATTCATCATTAGAAGGCATCAATTTCAGCTTCAAAGGAGAATAGAAAAAAGCAGTTAAAGAACCGTATGAAGGAAAAGGCCTGTCAGCAGATGAGGTTTACTGACTGGCTCTGAAAAGTATTATCCCCCAACGGCTTGTCCGTTTTACTCGCCAGAAGAAAGAAAGGAAAAATCATGCTGCCTGTGTGCTTGTTATCTGCTGTTTGACCCAAGTTCTCAACGGCAAGATAATTGAAGACGAAGCGATCTATAACTTTTGGCGATTTTTGGTCGAGGACTTCTTCTTGCCGGTTATAAAACCGCCAGGAACTTACTGGAATAATAAATTGTTGCCTTCTTGCAGATCTTCGAAGTTCAGCTCTTCTTTCCTTGCCACCAGCGTTCTTTAGTGTGCTCAGCTGGATCCAGTTCGTCCTGATAGAAATTCAAAGAGTGCGTGAAGGTAAAGTGTGTCAATTTGTCTTAGACAAAAATTGCATTGAAAGTTGCGAAAAGCCGCTACATTTTTTATTAAATAGTTTTCCAGTCCGATTCCTTCAGCAACAACTTGAATAGATTTATGCTGGATTTATATAACTCGGCACGAGTCGTTGCAACTTTCAAGGAAGATTCCTTCGATGGCCGACCGCATTTTAACTTTTTTATAGTACGTTTACTTGAGATTGCTCTAGGAAAACAAAAGAAAACCAGTGCGAGAAATACGACTAGAATACATGCATCGCGACCAGACTTATTTGACAGCTAGTCATGCACAGTTGCGTTATTTTTGTTATTTTTTTAATAAGTAGGCGGGATGGCGAAAACAATGGCTTCCTTGCAGGCGTTCCCCTCCTCCCTCCTCCCTCGCGCGTGTTCTCGCGCCCTAATTCCCTTCCCCTTCCCCTTCCCCTTCCCCTTCGAACGCCTGCCACGCAGGCTAGGCTTAAAAGGAATGGGCTCCCTCAGTTAGATAATTAGAACAAAATATTATCCTGCCTGCTTTCCATAAACAAAAACAACAACAACAACATGAATAACATAAAATATTCTTACAATATACGTTAAGTGAAGCAGAATTGGACTGATAAACTCCAATATAGTTAGCACCTCCACAGAAGTATTCTCCGCTGTCTGTTCTGTTCACATTCGTTATGAACAACCGCTTAAAATCGGATGAAAAACTAATCCTTAGAGTAGTACTGACAACAGCTCCGTCTTTGGTCCACAGGAAAGTAGGTTCAGGATTTCCTGTCGCATCACAGGTGAAAGTCACGTTTTCTCCCTCTATCTTTGTCTGATTTATAGGATACGTGGTGAGCTCAGGTGGAACTGAAATAACAACAACAACAACAATAATAATAATAATAATAATAATAATAATAATGATAATGATAATAATAATAATAATAATAACAATAATAAATACATAAATAGATAAACAATAGTTACTCTATGTAAAAAATGCAGCATGTGGGGTTAATTTGGGCAAAGCTTTGTCCTGTGTCTTACTCCGGCAATCAGTAGTCAACAACAGCATGTGAATAGAAATATAATGGAACAATACCCTTAAGTGCAGATACTATCTTATAACAACATGAGGATAATTTTCTTTCTTTGTTTTTTTCCCACACGCAAATTAAGGAGCAATTAAATTACAGTGGACTCCCGATAACTCGAACCTTCAAGGGAATCGAAAAAAGGCTCGAGTTATCGGGAGTTCGAGTTATCGGGATCCCGAAGAAAATAGCCGAGAGTAAGGTAAAAAACATTTTGTACTGCACAGTGAACATTTTAATCAAATTTAATCGTAGAAATGTCAAGTGAAAATTAAAAGATACTTCTAGATTATAAAGCAGAATGTAACGTAACAAAACACAGCCTAATAGAGCATGCGTTTTACTGTTTTGAGAAGAAAAACTGCATAACGTTAGCCTGTGACAATCAACATTAGCCTCCACTAGTAAACTATACTCCTACAACACGTTAATAGGAAATCCAAAATTCAATGTTTCGGACGCCCGTAGACGGCGTTTTTCCCGACTTTTTAGGGGCTCAAAACATGGTTCGAGTTATCGAGGGTAAAATTATATAGAAAATGACCTGAGGGGAAACGAAAATTGGTTCGAGTTAGCGGGAGTTCGAGTTATGGAGGGTTCGAGTTACCGAGGGGTAAAATTACACTGAATGTATGACGGAAATCCAGGGGAAATCGATTTTGGTTCGAGTTAGCGCGAGGTTCGAGTTAGCGAGGGTTCGAGTTATCGGGAGTCGACTGTATATATGCTCTGGTGAAAACTAATGGCAGACTAGCCTATATGCATTAAATAAAACGTGACTCTCAATCACTATTTAGTGCAGATATTCTTAATACAGCATGAGAATCTTTTTCTCCCCTTGCTTTAAAATGAATAGTAGACTAGCCCATATGTCAATGTTGTCAATGTTTACAAAATACCATTGCGAAATTTCGTACAGTAGTGAAATTCTCGCCCTGTTTGAACAAACGGGATGAACTCTCGAAGGTGTGACCCGCTCCAGCCTGACTTTTTGTGGTGAAAACAAGTAAACAAATACATGGCCACGAGAGGGCAGAGGAGTGAACTCGCGCCGGCGCAAAATTAGCCCCGATGTCATCTAAACACCCCCTTACTTTCTAACTCAAACATCACCCTGTTCGCCGATGATTCTAAACTGCATGGACCAACGATTATTCGCTCCTCCAAAGAGACCTAGACTATTTACACAGATGGAATTTAACGGAAGCAAATGTAAAGTGTTACATATCTCCAAGAGGAACACTTCATGTCCAACTGGAAGGAAGTACAACCTTGATGAACGACAGCTCTAATGGCTACCATCCATTATTTAAGCAATAGACCACACTTTCTATGGGTTTACCGGCGTGATAACCCCCGTGGAATGCTGGGAGAAGACGAGAAAAGCTTGTAAATGACGAGAAGCTTTTCGAGTGTTCTCCCAACATCCCAAGTGGGTTATCACGCCGGTAAACCCATAGAAAGTGTGGTCTATTGCTTTTATAAAATAACGTTTAGTAGAATGGAGTCTTTTTGGTAAAAAATATGATTTTAGTACGGTGATCAAGTCATATCTTCTCTCTAAAGTCATCATAAGCCAATCATGACTCACGATTTAATAGCGCTGAACTTTCTAAAAACTCAGTTCAGTCAAACAACAAACAGCAGCACTTCAAAACACGAGTTTTTGCACTCATTACATGATAACTTATGAAAGCTGTTTTACAGGAAAAGTCAACATTTATTCATGCGAACGTACAATGAAAGAATACGCTCATGGTTTGTTTACTACAGAAGAAGAAATTAATTGAACATCAGACTGTACGCAGCTGTTTGTTGAGTCGATCCGTAAGAATTTCGTGCTTACAGACGGAACTGGCAGCTATTATAATGGAGGACTTCATTCACATTTTACAAGCCGCAGTGGTTTAAGATCTGTTTTCTGGACTTTATTATGATTAAGAAATGCTGCGGTAACGACGTGGCTGCATTTGCGAAGTTGTCGCATGCAACTTTATATGCACGTACAGCGACCGGTGGAAATATGTCAGTGGTGGAGAAAAATTTCTTTGCCGTAGCCACATATTGGCGTTAATATTTGTCGATTTGTAAAGTCAGGTGGTTTGAGGTAGGTTAGGGCATCGATATCACCGAATAATTTGTGCAATTGTTGGAAAAAACCAGCCCGAAACTCTGACATCTTTCATCATCGTTGGCAGCTTGTTTACAACCTACAGCGGCCGATTTTGTACCATATCTTGATCAGAGATCTCTTTTTGGAACAATGTCTTTCATTAAGGCATTTAATTTTGACATAAAATAAATCAACAATGCTAAAACTATCCGTTTTGTTGCTGGTTGGCACATGGCTAAGCTTTCCTTGAGACTTTCAATACCAAAAATTCACACAGTTGTTGTCTTTCTTTGCCATTTGGCATCGTTGTGAAATGTAAACTGCTTTCCAGCTTTGTACTTTATTACTTCTAAAGTTATGGCAGTATTAAAATGTGGAAACCAACGCTTTTGATATTAAGAAGGGCTGGGTAAGTAACTTGTTCTGTTTTCTAGCCTTTCTAAAATCGTTGTTTGTAGATCAATAGCCGGTTTTGTTTATGGCTCGTGGTCCGGATGCCTTTTTCTATGGGTTTACGGGTATAATAAACCATAGGTTTTTGACCAATCAGATCACGCGTACTATCTCAGTTATTTTATAAATACTTGTATTTTAAAGCAACCGCCACGAGCATCGTATTAACTTACAGTGAACATCAATTGTACAGTTCTTGGTGTCGTTCCCGATGATATTCTTAGCAATACATAGATATACTCCTCCATCGTTTCGATTGATGTTCGACAAGTTAGAGATAAGTTCCCCTGTACTTTCCAAGACCCACTCAATACTGGGCACAGGATTACCAATCGCACTACACCAAATTGCTGCATTATCACCCTCAATAACTGGAGTGGAACACTGATAGACTGTCACTTTTGGCGCAACTGAAAGAAATGTACACATTAATATAAAACCAAGTACGTGACTAAAACCACGGTATTAATGGTTCACTATGGTAGATTTTAAAGATCGATGATTTTATTACGAAATGTAAAGCGAAAAAGTGTCAACTTGAGCACACTGTTACACAGTTTTTCATGCATGTGTACCCACACATCACAGTAATCGAGGCGCTAACTGTGTAGAATCCAAGACTATTGTTTGCTTTACAGCTGTACACTGCTTCATTATCTCCTCTCCTCAGGTTTATTAGATATAAAGTCTCCGTTGAAGACAGCACACTACTGTATCCGTTTGTCCATGTGATGTCTGGTTGTGGATTGCCAATTGCATTGCAGAACAAGGTCAAATTACTTCCCTCTAACGCTATGTGATCTAATGCAGTGACAATGACAGGAGGAACTACAGAAAAAATGAACAAATTAAACTTCAGTTAAATAGCACGGACATCAAAAAAAGAAGTATAAACAGAACAATAGGGTATAATATGAAACTTTATGCTGTTGTGGATGTCAAAAACTGAAATATATTATGGAAAAAAAACTTGCTCTTTGAAACGAAGGAACTACCTTTTTGTTTCTTAAATCAGTGCTGTTCTTCTATATACATATACATTTTTATAATATCAAGAGTGCTATTATTACGTGGAGAAACTGCTAAAAGGGTCAAAAAAGTGAATTACATGATTACTTTGATTAACAATTATCGCAATGAACAGTGGGGAATGATTCCACCCTCTCTGAGAGGTTTTTCTGAGTTTTTTTTTTTTAGACGATCAAATGTCAGCACCTAACGTTTTCAGTGGCTTTTGGTTTATCCCTCGCACGTATTTTGATACAAGTTTAGAGATGACCAGTTGTTATGGTCACGAAATAAGACTTCATAAGGGACTTGTCAGAAGTTACCAGGGGGGGAGAGGGGGTGGGAATTTTGAATTTGGGTTCGGAAATGAGGTGACCAATCCCTGGAATGGGAGTGAAATTTGCTAACCCTTCCCTTGACCTTGGCCTAAAATATCATGACCCTCCCCCTCTTGTATAAATGATAAAATCTAGTTGTTGCAATACACTAGGGTGAGTCAGTATTATGAAAGCTCAAGATATATTTCTAATCTGTTCTTTGTAATGCCATATACATACGAACCACGCTTAATATGGGCGATATATCATCAAATTACACTCACTCAATAACTCTCGCTTTCTCCACATAAATCATCACATGCAAACTTTAATTTCCTAACCCAGTCGATTTATTCAAGATCCCTGATTGTTAACTAAGTCTCTGGCCTGGTCAGAAATCAGCATCAATTTTGCTCTCGCCGAATAGATTTCACTCCTACAAACTACTTTTGCGGCCAGAAACTCGTCACCGCCCACATCAAAGCGACGGCAGACTTTGCCGATCGTGAAGACTTGTTCCTTCATAACGCTTAATGATGCCGTCCGGAAAACTTTGCTGCAGGCGGCTAAAAAGAAATCTAGAAAATGAACCGACCGCGGAAAACAACTTCTACTGCGCGAGCTGATTTCAAATGTATAGTGTTTTATGACACGGTAAGAAATATGGAAAATGATAGGTAGAGGAGAGGGGTTATTTCAGCCTGTTAGTTTTTTTTTTACTTAAAACATCGTACGTAAAAAAAATGGTCAAGTACTGAACAAGCCTCAAATGAGGCTGTTGCTAAAAAATTCTGGAGGTACCTTTTTGCAAATCCAGACAGATGTATAGTTAGTAATACGAGCTACGCAATTTTCTGGTGTGAGAGTGACGAAAACAAGTTTCTCATCCAACCTTCAACTGCACTGTGGATCACCGTTTCCTTATGATTTAACTATTATTGCAACGAAGTTTACATTATTAAGGCATGTATACTTGTAAGTGAAAATATTAAATGTACTCACATTCCACATTCACCCTTAGTGTATGGTTCACTGAATTTCCTACTCCATTGTAAGCTATACAGCGGTAAGTGCCAGCCTCAGTCCTGCTGACGTTTTCGAAATCCCATGTAGTGCCCCAGTGTAATACATTACTCTCACTGCCACTTGAGGTGATTCTCACCCACGTGATATTTGGAGGTGGTCGGCCAGATGCATTACAGAATAGCTGCAGAACTGAACCCTCTATCAAAGACGTATCACTGCTGACGTTGATGAAGCTGGCTGCGGCTAATTGAAAGATATGTAGTAAAATAGGGTTTATTCTGGAGGGAACATTGCGGAATTTCCGCAAATTGAATTCGTAAGTGCAATAGATATATAATAGATAGATTTAGCCAGGGCTAAAAGCGAAGCTCTCGTTAATATACTTATAAACAAAAAATAAAATCGTGCGATGGTAAACGGCGACGGCTATGAGAACGGCAGCAAAATCAATAGATCTAATTAGCCAAAAAAAAAAAAAGAAAAAAAAATTTGCAGGTGCCGCACACCTTTTGGTACATTTCTTTGCCGTTGTTTTGCACGACTACAATGCCATTGTTTTGCACGACTAAACCGTGAAATTTCCCAGTTACACATTATTTTTATGGAGGAGTGTTGCATGTGTTCACAGAAGATTTTGTTGCTTGTGTTCCTGTACACTTTTATTTTTTGACTGCCGCTCATTTTCACCGTTCACCCTCCCTTTTGTTTTCAATCACTGGCTCTAGCTCTTTTTCTGGTATCCACGTGAGTGTAGACATCAAAAATAACATCGAAAAAGACTCGACTTTGTTGTTTTGTTTTTTTTCTCTCTCTCTTAACGTCCGGGTGGCCATGCGATTTCCCGCCCAAGAAAAACTCGAGTTGCACTTGGGTTGCCATACCTGTTGATTGAGTTATTTTAAATTGGTATGCCTGTGGGGTAGATGGACGGGCGGGCGTACGGTCACGTGACTACCCAAATTTTTTGGATGCACAAGTAACCAAATTTTCTTACCAATGCTGCTCCGCTGCGCGCGAGAGCTCCGCTATTACTAGGGCGCGGGGAAAATCTGAAATGAGGAATTCTGTTTCACTACTTTACTTTTTTGAAGTGTGATCGTGGCTTTCAAGTTGTGGTAAAGGGATTTTTAAAAGTTTGGTAACTTCAATCTTATGACAATTCTGAAAACAAATTTCCCAGTTTATTGTTGTTGAGAACAAGATACCAAAGTGCACTTTAACCAAAGGATCAAAAAGAAGATAAACCCATTGGTCTCTTTAATCAGCCATTAAAAGGTATGAAACACAAAGTAATTAGAAAATTTATACCTTACGATAAAGACATCAGTTGTTTCTGATTTTAAAAAACTATAGTGACAGTGCTCTGTTCACCTTAACAAAATTTGCTAAATTACTAAGAAGTCAAAAGAAATCAATAAATTAAAAACAATGAAATAGGAGAGTAAATCATACAAGAAAAAAAAGTTAACAAATCATAACATTAACGTAAAAAAAGATAAACTGAGAGATAATTCATGCCATTCATGTCCACAAAGGCAGATATCTGTAAGCCAAAATAAACAATTCACAATCCTACGGAAACTCATGACATTCATTTTCGCCATTAGAGAGAGAGAGTGAATCGTGGCTTTCTGCACAGATTCAGTATGTATAATTGTACTGCAACTAAAGAAGTTCAGCCTTTTAAAAATAATTTAAAATCAAGATTCATGTATATTTATCCTTCATTTTTGCCCTCCCATTTTTCTCTCCTTCTATTCAACAATTAGGGTCGTCAACAGGACCTTATCCGCTGTATTTGGTATCCTGTGGGCACCCGCATAAAATTGGACGCCTTAAACTTCTACCAGAGTAAAATATTCGATGTACAATGTGTGAATTAAGTTACCTAGGGTAGCCACTTGAATTTTACGTCTCCATGAATTCGAAGAACCAGTTAACTCACAGCTATATACTCCTTCATCAGCAGACGTTACATTAAGGATAATCCGGAGTGACATTTCCATTGACCCAGGTAGCATTGACTCTAGTGGTGAAGCCTTGGTTTATTGCAACACTTCCAATTGAAGGATCTATGATGGCTATGACAGAGCTGTCGAGACGTAAAGTCACAAGCAATAGAGTTTCTAGTTCGAGACTAAAACTCCATTTCAAAGGTTGATTAGTGGACCCTTCATAAAGCTGTATGTAGTTTGTGTGAACCACATTGGGATCTGTAACCGTCCCAACTGGGGGAGGCTCATACCAAGTAATCCTTTGTGCACCTGATTTGAAATAACAAAGACTATTTATTAAGATTAAAAACTGAATATTCGCTTGTTATTAATACTTGTGATACAGGTCTTGTTTTATGCCTTGTAATGTTAGTCTCAACTAATTAATCGATCCGCTCACATAAGTGTAGCTCATACATATTATGTAGATTGTAAGCAATAGTAAGACTTTTAATTAATGTGGGTAATATAAAGAAATGGAAAATCTTCTGGAAGTGAAATTAGAACAAAAGTGGATCTTTGATTCTATTCGCTTAAAAGTGTATGACGTATGAAATACATGGTATTTAAAAATTATTGAATGAGACTGAATAGGATATAAAAACATTATGCAGGGCGTGGATGGTGTTACACGCTTCAATTTGCAAAATTCTTCATATTGTACAAAAGCCGAATTCTATTGTAATAGGCCACTTGCACTAAGAGGTCATGTGACATATAGTTTTCATGCAAATGAAAGCTATATGAGTTTGCCTTCGAAAACGATTAGTGGGTCATATCTTAAACATAATAATAGTGATTTGGTTTTTCAAACCCGCACCATTATCTTAAAATGAGTAAGTTCCTCGCTGGTCACGTGATCAAAATGTGATTTTTAAAATTATGAATTACTTCTTTCTGAACATAAGGTTTGCACTTAAACTTCAAGGAGGATGTTGAAAAAATGATGTGCTAACGTTTACAGCACATCTGAGCGTAACTATTAAACGCTTAACAAGATATAAGCAAAAAGTAGGTTTTGGCAGCCATATTGGAGGGCAAGAGTATGCCCTCCAACATGGCGGCCAATACAAATCATACTGCTTTGTTGAAAAATCAAAGTGCCATAAAATATCTCCCTTACATGCGTTTCCTCTCAAATTTCGGGTGTAAGCTAATTTTTATGTGCTCTGTCAATTTTTGGCATCAGCAAGATTCCAACTCATTGTTTAAAGGAAGCAATGGTCACGTGACCTCTTAGCGCAAGTGGCCTATTGTTTTATTCTTCCCAATACTTCCAAAGCTCTTAAAAGGGAAACTAAACTTTACAAAAATTTAGTTCTTAAGCAAAATGCAAAGTTCACAAAAAAGATATAAATTCATCTTTCCCTCTAAATTTCAACTATAACACACGAAATACGAGATCTCTCCGAGAAAAATCAAACAATTAGTTAACTCTCAGCAAAGACTTCAAAGACAAAAAATAGCCAAGGCTATTTCCGAATTGTCCTTTTGTCTCGAAGCGAGGCTAAGTGCTCTTAGCCTCGTTTTGAAAGTGGGATTTTTTGAACTCGAAAATGGCCTATTCAAACTAATGAAGTCTAGTTTTACAGTGGAAGTCATAAGAATTAAAATGCCTCATATTTTGCGTCATCGCTGTGAGAAATCCAAACTCCTCTCCGGTTTCGTTTTTTTTTTTTGGTTTCTGACGAGCCGCGACCTTGTTTTTCAGTAGCAACGAATTTTTATTCATTTTTTTTTTAAATTTCATTCATTCCAAAGTGCAACAATTACAATAATGATCACAGAGTATACATACACACGCAGACTACACACCTAAACACACATGCATTTTGATATTCCAATGCTATGCCCATAGTATTATTTCGCTGTGGCGCTTTTCGAAAAAAGAAGAAACTAATTAAAATAATTACTTACAAAAAAGTCCGCTTGTCCATTAATTTTTGTAAACTCTTATTCTAAGTGCAAATAAATTTTCAATCTGTTTCATACTTAATATTTACCTCAACTATAAAACTATCTATTTTCGGAAGTACTTCATCCTTCCGCAACTCCATAAATATATTTTCCCTATAAGTATAAGCTAATTAAACAAGGAGCATTCAGAAGTTAAAATGCCAATCAAAATTTGCTTTAGGTGAACTAGTTGTTTTCGTAGCATGATTCAACACATTTCCAGAATGAATTCGAATTTGGACAGTCGCAAAAGAAATGTTTAATCGATTCGTTTGTGATTCTTTTTTTCTGCAAATAGGCTGAAGTTTTGGAGAAAGTCTACGAGGAGGTAAACTTGTTAAGAACTTAGAAATATATTCAATAATTTATAAAACAATTGTAAAACTCGGCTTTCGTTTGATAAGTAAATAATAAAAAAAAAGATTTAGTCGTAAAACCAACCGATCAAATATAACCCCGACCACATCGATCCTGAAGCACCAAGCACGTACTGATCTTCCAATGACCTGTCATACATGTCTTGCTAACTAATTCACAGTCACCTTCTTCC